ACGACAAGGAGCTACTAGCTATCGTAAAATGTTTCGAAGAATAGGAGCCTAAGCTAATAATACAAGATATTAAAGTACTCTTAGACTACAAAAACCTAGAGTACTTTATATTAACAAAGAAACTCAATCGTAGATAAGCTCGCTAGGCTAAGTTCCTATCTCAATTCAACTTTAAAATCTCCTATAGGCTAGGGAAATAAGGTACGAAACTAGACAGCTTAACGAGAAGAAGTTAAGATCTTTCCGCTAACGTAGACGACCTACGACTATAGCATTAAGAGAGGACTATCCTTAAGAAAGAAAACCTAGATATAGTTACGAACTTCGCAATGCACTACGAAGATAGCGGCTACGAGTTATAGCCGGAAGACCTCTAAGACAATATCGTTAAGAATAACGACCTAAAAGAGGGAGAGGGTAAAATGCCGGAAACTACGCTATCTAAGGAAGAAGCGCTATAGAAGGATCTAGAACAGTAGGAGATTAATATAAAGACGGCAATTAATAGCATATTCGACTAGGCCTATAAACAGCAATTAGTTCTTACCTTTATAAAAGAGATTCGGGAATACCTAGAAGAAGGCACCGTCTCGCTATAGATGCGACTATATAAGGTCTTACCTGCTAACTGCCGCATTAATAAAGAACGATTGCTTATTAACGACCGCCTCTACGTCCCTAGATATAAGAATTTGCGTATACGTATTATTTAGCGCTTCTACGATAGTCTAGTCGCCGGATATTAAGGCATTAACCGCTCTCTAGAAATAATTACTTAGAACAACTTGTTCTAGCCTAAGATAACGGCTAATATCGCCCGGTACCTACGCAATTGTCGCGCTTATAGAAGAGCTAATCCCTCGAGGTTGTAGAAGCTAGGCACCCTTTTAGTATTGCCTATACCTTCTTAACTATAGACGTACATTACGCTCGACTATATCGTAGATCTCCTGCCTAGCCGAGACGAACACTTAAGCAAGGACAAGGTCTATAAGAACATTCTAACTATTACTAACTACTTAACTAAGTAGGTGCGTTTGCTACCGACTAATAGGCTAGATGTAGAAGACGCGGCTTAGCAAGTATATTACTTTGTCTTCCCGACGTACGGAGTACCCTCTATTATCTTTAGCGACCGTAGCACCTAATTTGTTAGCGCATTCTTTAAGCGTCTGTGCGCTTATCTTAGTATCGTATAGAACGTGTCTTCCGCCTTCTATCCTAAGACCGACGGCTAATCTAAACGTACTAACTAAACCCTCGAGCAATACCTACGTATATTCTATGCCTACTAATAAGACGATTAGGTTAAATAGCTCCCTCTAGCTAAATTCGCTATAAACAACTACGTCGCTTCCGCTACTAGTATAATACCTTTCTTCGCTAATATAGGGCGGCATCCGTAGATAGGTTTCTAGGACCTTCTAGGAAGGCCTTAAGTAACTAAGTAGCAGCTAGCTAATATCGAATCTGCCGACGCGATCGCGGCGCGTATACGCGAAGTGCTTAAGGAATACCGAGCAGCGCATACTCTAACCTAGATTAAGAACGTAGAGGTAGCTAATACTAACCGCTCTATCGCACCTAACTACAAACTAGGTATACTTGTCTAGCTTAACGCGCGCTATCTAAAGACTAACCGCCTTAGCAAGAAACTAGATTATAAGTAGCTCGGCCCTTTCGTAGTTAATAAGGTAATAGGGCGACGATTATATAAGTTAACCCTACTAGACTCGATAAAGCTAATCTACCTAGTGTTCTATACTAGCATATTACGACCTGCCGCAAACGATCCGCTACTAGGGTAGGAACTAATTAATGCTCCGCCTCCGGTTCTAATATTACGAGAAGGTAAAGAGCCCGAAGAGGAATAGGAACTAGAGAATATCTATAGTTCGCGTAAGGCTAAGGACGGCGAGATCTAGTACAAGGCTCGGTAGAAAGATAGGTCTAAGACTAAGCAACGATAGGATAACTTCCTACTAGGTATAGAAGAGCTAGTAGCCGAATACTACTAGCGATATCCTCGCAGACTGAAACCTGCTGCTACTAAGGATCTGCCGCTGCCCGCTAAGTAGTATAGACTGTTAGTAATACAAAAGGGCTATACTTCTCTACCGTAAACTATTAGTCCCTACTAATCTCCGACCCTAAGAAGACTCGCTACCGAGTAGTTAAGACAGGACCTAACGTTAGTATAGCGCTGCATATGCTACAACTAGAGCTTAACGTTATAAGTGAGCTAAGCGCGTACGCGGAAGGTAAGAGGTACTCGTATCGCCCGCTAGGAAGCTAAGACTTATAGGAAGCATAGATATAGGTATAGGTACGAATATTGTTATAAATAATTAAACAACGGCCTATTGCACGTTATTAAGACGTCGCAGGAGCTCCTTTTAATAGGAGGGGAGTACTATTACGGAGTGGCTGCTCTACTCGGGTTAATGCCTAAGGTAGCTAAAAGCTTAGCGAGGATACTTCCTCGTACGCTTCCTTCTACCTCTAGATAGAACCGTACGACAACTCGTCTTCTATCTAATCTATACTATCTCGTAACAATTAGCCTATTTAAATACACGGCGGCGGTCTAATTTAAGGACTAATTCCTATCTTAATTTAGGGCGTATTTCCGAGATCTATATAGAATTAGTCTTAGCTAGAAGGTCGTCTTCGAGGGTCTTTAAATAGGCCTTAAATAAGCGGGCCGATTGATTAGTCTTTTGTTTAGCTCGAAGGTACTAGTCCTAAGCGTATTATTGCCTTAGTATCGGGTTTCTAAGGGTGTCTAGTATAATAGTTTTGTAGGTTTGCTACTAAACAGCGGTCTAGTTATTAAGGGAGTTAAAATAGTTATCCTAGTTACGTTTTAGGTCTCTATTAATATATTATATAGCATAGACGACTAGTAAATAGTCGTCTAGAAGAGCTCTTAGTACATTTCGCTAGTTTAGCTCGCAATCTCGTATATAATTATTATACTGCTTACGACTAGAGCCGTTAAATACAGTACAATCCTTAAGCTTAGTATCCTTCTTCTAAACTAGGACGGATAGTAAGGAAGGCCCTACTATCGGCTTAGTATTAGTTTTTAGGGCTTCCTATAGGCGGCGAATCTCGAGGAGATTATCCTTTAGCTATTATTCTTAACGTAAGGTAGTAAGCCTGTTTTAAGTAGCTTCTTAAAGTCTCCCTACTAGTTAAGGGCTAAAGGCTAGTTAGCTATATCGACGGTTAATAATATTATTAAGAATGTCGTTAATAGGCAATTCTAGGTTATTACCTAGAATTATAGGTTCTTTATTAATAGGCTCTATACTACTAGTATTATCGTTACTAGCGCTACTAGCGGCGCCGCGGTTGTTGTTACTTCGTAATAAGCCGGCTATTATAAGGGGTAATACTAATAATATATTATAGGCCTCTAAGATACGGATATAGCGGAATTAGTAGGTATCGGCTTAGTACAATTAACTTAGTATAATAGGCTATATAGAAGGCCTTGCTTAATAATTAGTATAGTTGTTTTTAATAGAATAGTACGTATAGGTCCCGTTCGTTACGAAAACTTCTTTTCCGATCGCGACGATCCTATCGATCCTAGCGATCGCGAGCGATCGCGACGATCCCGAGCGATCCCGAGCGATCCCGAGCGATCCTAAGCTATCCTAGAACGATAAATAGGTAACTTATAAAAGTTAGACTTTTGCCTAATACTATACTAAAAATAGAACATTTTTGTTATATATTACTAAGCCGTAAACCTTCTAGATAAAAAGATATAAAGGAAAGAAAATCGCTTTTCTAGACATTTTGCTTCTAATTTATCTTTTTTCTAGTAGGTTTATAGCTTAGTAATATAGTAAAAAGATACTCTATTTTTAGTATATTATTTTAAAAAAATATAAAATTTATAGATTTTCTACGAAACTAAAGCTAGGGAACAGAAATAAGCAATATAGTATTTTAGCTTTTCTAAGTTATACTTTACTATTTTTAGAAATTTAAAAAATAGAACTTAAAGTTCTACCTACTAATAAGAGTATTATAAATTTTCAAGTCTTAATACCTAGTAGTTATCTTAGAATCTAGAAAAGAATCTCGAGTGTTTCGAGTATACTTTTTTTCAAAGTTCTGCTTATTAAGCGTCGGCTTTTGAAAGAAACCTTAACGAAATATCGGCTACATTTGACGAAACCTTAACGAAAAAAATTTATTTATAAAAAAAACCTACGAAACCGCTAAATTTAACCTATATTAGTACGTAATACCCCTAAATACCTCGTAGTACTAGTAGTAGTAGTAGTAGTCGGGCTCTAACTTGTCCTACGTCCTTTACGTTCCTCGGCCTCGAATTTCGGGATAGCCCGTCCCGAAATTTGCGATCGTAAGGATCCTATCGATAGGATCGCGGCCCCGCGATCCCGAGCGATCCTATCCGATAAGATCTTTAACGTACGATCCCGAGGATCCTAAGGATCCTAAGGATCCTAAGCGATCCTAAGCGATCCTATCGATAGGATCGTCGCGATCGGAAAAAAAGTTTTCGTAACGTTCTTTAGGCGTAATATAGTTAGATCGATAGTTTTCGTAGCTATACCGCTAAAAGCTTAAAATAAGGACTATCTAGCTACTACCCTTAAAGGGTAGATCGAATACTATATAAGAAGGGTTATATTAGTAGGTAGATAGGGTAGTAGTAGGTATAGGTAGTATTCGATAAGGATTTAGAAGGAGAGGGAGGAAGGTAGGAGAGTTAGCCTATTACTAAGCGCTAAGCCCTACCTAAGGTATTAAGACCCTAGCTTTACTCGAGCCTAGTTATATACTAATTACGTATAACCTCTTTAGTCCTAATAAAGAGACTATAATAATACGAGTCTATATATATATACGACTCTAAGCCCCTTTTAAAGGCCTATCTCTCGGACCTCTAGATATCTAGATAACCGTAGAATACTAGGTATCTATATAGTAAGGTAAGAGGGAAAATACTAAGACTTTTATCGTAATCTAAGATTTAGTCGTAGTAGTTAGAACGCGACAATAACGCCTTGTCGTATACTATCTTAGACTTTAAGGGCTTAGTTAGATATATTGCGACGGACCTTAGCTACTTAGATCGTTATAGTTCTATAGAGATAGTTATATTACAGCCTCCGAGGGCAAATAGCTGTATTCTATAGGCTGTTTTAGCCCGGTTTGTTCTTAGGCTTGTAGGCGAAGAATTAGTGTCGTGCTGTTGAAATGTCGTAAAAGTCCAATCAAAGCTTAATGAAAGTTTTAGCCCGGTTTGTTCTTAGGCTTGTAGGCGAAGAATTAGTGTCGTGCTGTTGAAATGTCGTAAAAGTCCAATCAAAGCTTAATGAAAGTCGATGTTACGTAATTCTTCGTCCCACAAGCCTGAATGGAGGTAGATCCGCTCCGCCTCGATCACTCCCTTCTCGATCCGCGCCTGACCTCCTTCATGTCCGCTGGCATTGCTTGCGGCATCAGACCACTATCCAGCGGCGGTAATTCTTCCAGAGAACATCCTGTCCGATAATCGTCCCCGTTCAAAAGCACAAACTCATTCTGACCATTCTGACCGTACTGCGCATCAAATCCGAGTTGACCGGGCTTCAGATCTCGCAATCCTCTAGCCCGCTCGTTTGGTCCTCGAGTTGTGTGCTCCAAGACCTTCTTCATAATCGCATCGAATGATGGCCTGTCCTCGTCGTTGTACCGGGTGCATGCTCTCACGAGATTGAGCAGTTCTTTGCTGTAAAAGCTCTGTGCAGTGGCATCAAATTGCGCTGGCTCTTTGAGATGCTCCTGCTGAAAGTCGTGCTCCCCATCTGCTGGAGCGGCTTTGCCTTGGATCATTCCCTGCCGAAGCGTACGAGGTTAGCAGGTGTCTCAGATATGGTGCATGTCTTGAACCCAATAGTCTTACCCATAGGACTATGCCAAATGCCCACACATTGGTCTTCGCTGTCATTGGCTTAGTGTGCGGCCACAACCCCAGCAATCCTCCATATTTACTAAGCAATAACAGCTGCTCTGGAGCTTGATGATGGGGTGTGCCCGCCACTGGAATTTGTCTTGGTCTCCTTTTGTCCCATTCGCGCTTCACGAATGCTAAGCCAAAGTCTCCAAGCTTCAACTCAGGGTAGCCGGGATATCGCGAAGTAGAGGGCACCCCGATGAAAACATTCTCTGGTTTGATGTCCCTATGGATGATTTCTTCCCACGGCATGTTTCCTTTTCGCCGGCTAAGCTTGCCACGCTGCATCAGTAATCCGGCCAATGCAAAGGTTTCAAGCGCATGCCAGCAAAAGGCTTCCGGCAGCATAATACACTGACTGGACATATCGTCGACCCAGTTCATTGCTCTTGCGGCTTGACCCATATTTGTGCTGTATGGGCTGCCATTCGAGTTCAGAACCTCGTAGAGGTCTCCATGCGGGCAGAATTCCAAGAAAAATCGCGATTTCTGTTCCTCCCGCCACATATTCCAGCAGAACATCTTGCAGATGCTACTAGAGCCGGGCTTGTCTCGCAGACGTAATTGACAGTCCGCTCTGCTAAAGGTCAGTTCCTGCGCGAATGGTTGTCTTGATATAACTTACTCTGTCAGGATTCCCCGAGCCGTGTCGCTGCCTTCAGTCCAGTTATCCTCGTAGGTCCAAAAACCAGAGTTCAATGACTCTTTCACGACGACGCGATTCCCAACTTTCCCGTCGTCGTTGAGCTGGACCCAGAGGCAAGCCTCTCCATAACTGCCGCGCCCAAGAAGCCAGCCACCGTACCACCCTAGATCACTCGTCAGCTGCGCGTTGAAATAGGAAAGAAGCAGCCTCAATACCTGAGTCAAGATCCAAATCTGCACGTGCAAGCTTATACGACTCATACACCCCATCGATGTCCCAGTCAGGCGGCATATCTTCATCGTCACCCTCTGATCTCTTCCTCTTACCCAAAACCTGCAATTTCTTCTTCGCCTGCTTCCGCAAAGCCGGAATATCCACTTCCATCACCTTCTTCAGCTTCTCAATCTTCTCCTTATTCCTCTCCATCAGTATCGTACAATACTGATCTCCAGCATCGTTGACCTTCCCGACTCGATTGGCCCGCAGGACCACGATATTTAGACGCAAACCGTCAAGCGCACCAGCTAAGACCTTCTGTCTCTCCTCAAAATACTCGAACCTGGGTCGACCGCCAATTTCATCTCCCTCGTCGTCAGCCGCCCCACGATATCGGCTTGCGACTTCAACGTCATTTTCCGCATCAGCGACGCCTTTCTTTCCGTCCAAGTAATAATCATATGCGTCGGCACTTTTCGACCGGACTTCGGGAGCATGCTTCAGCCATCTTCTGCGGAGCTTGTTACGTTCTTGAGGTTCGAACTCGACTTCCCACGGCTCATAGTCGGTTTCTGGATCTCTTCTGGCTTCTAATTCGAAATTGACGTAGCGCTCTTGGTCGCGAGGCTCGACCAAGACGTATTGCGGGTCCGACATTGTCGAAGACTTGTATCGAAAGCTTCAGTATACTTTCCAGCCACACATTTCAAACCTCAAGTGACGCATTAAATCTTGCAGGACGCAACGGAGCTGCTAGTATCATTGTTCTTTGTCCTCTTCAGGACCGGATCCGGATCCTCAATACTTTTTGTTCTTTCAGCAACGATGTCTTGGCATAAAGCCAAGCATAATCTCATCAACAGTATGATCAACTCCAATTCGAAGACCTACACAACAGGTCTTAGCACGTCATCTAGCAGCATAAAATCCATCGCACCACAGAAATAAGCACTTCATCCCCTCCTTTCATCTTCTCTGTGACCTCTGAACCCACTCAAATACACCCGGGCACACTCAAAAACGCGTCAGGTCGGCACTCCACGATCATTGATCGTGCATAGTAGCAGAGAGAGAATGGGCAGTACGTATTATTGGTCTGTAATCCCCCCGGTCTCTTTGTCCTTGAGGTGTGGCTTGCGACTCAGGCCAGAATGGTATTGTATTTCCTTGAATCCAGTCAATCTGACGAGTCAAATTTGCAACGCTCTACCTTTGTCTTTGAACTTGAAGTCCGACTTGGCTCAATGGCGCAGTCATCCGATTAAGCGCTTGACAGATGTGGTGGGCGTCGACAGCGACGCGAGGCCTTATCGGCCTCGCTTGATGATGTTTTCGCTCTCTGCAGCATACCTAGTACTACCAAGCCGAGGGCGATTGTTTTGCTTTTGCCCTGCGCCTTGACTTCAATTCTTTGTCCGTAGGCAAAATTCCACACAGACAAAGACAAAATGGATGCATGGGAGTGGACAGCAAGATCCACATCGTCGAGTAAATAGGGGTATCATTCAATCTCCTCGTCGTCGCTTCGTACCAGCATGTCCATTGCTCTCGGGCTCTCCGTTCACCAGATCCTCGCCGTCCACGAATTCCATCTCGTCAGCCTGGGCGGTGCTCTTTCTTCTGAACTGACCAGCGCCGATGGCCACTATTTCATCCTCGCTGTCAGAATCGTCCATGTCCAGCAGAACGGGCATACGAAACTCCTCTCCGGCCTTCGCTGTGCCATCCTTGGCATTTCTGCCCTCTCGCTCCAGCTGCTCTTCATCCACAGTCAACACGTCCACCTCCTCATCTTCTTGATCGAGTCGTCGCTTTTGTAGCTCGGACTGATCGTGAATGTCAAACTCATCTTCCAGCTCGATGTACTCCACGTTCTCTTCTACCTCCACGAAATCTGGCGCAAGTGCAGACCATCGTTGAGGAGTGTTGATGGACCACAGGTAGATGCGACCGCTCTCAACTCCTGTGGCTGCGACAAATGGCCGCACAGGATGCCACTCCACAGCTCCCAGCTCTTCTTTCGGCCCTTCCAGAATCTTCACCAATGATCCGTGCCCTCTCTCCCAAATGTAGATGTCGTGGTTCATAAGTGTCGAAGCCATGACATAGTCAGCATTGCTGCTAAAGGCCACGTGGTTCCATGACAGGCGATTGACAACATCCTGGAATTTGTGTTCGACTTCCAAGCGGATGCTGTCGGGCTGCAGATTGGGATTTGACAAGTCAGGAAGCTTGATGGTGCGTATTATGGTGTCAGAAGCGTTGACGAGGAGATCTCGACCGGAGCTACTCAAGCGGATGAGCAGAATAGGCTTGCTGCACAGGCGATTGCTGTGAACAGTCTCGCGGGTTTCGGTGTTGATGACATTCAGCCATCCCTTGGTGGTGCCGGTGATTATGTACTTTCCACTTGGCGTAAAGGCAGCGACAGTGGCGAAGTGCTTAGCATCCGCCTTCTCGCCACTCTCTTCGTGAGGCGCTCGCTTGGGCAGGTTGGGGAGGGCCATCTGCTTGACCTTCGTGTCGTGAGTGAAGTCTGCCAGCACAGGCCTATACTCGTATAGAGCTGCTACACACATTCTGTGATTGGCGGGATGCAGTTCTGCGATGTAGACTGGCGCGCCCAGGTTGACCGTGCGTACTCTGCTGCCATCTTGCAAGTCCCACAGGATCACCTTCCAATCTATGCTGCTACTGAGCAGGTAGCGGCCACTCTTCTCCCAGGACAACGACTGCACAGTCCTGCCAGCAGTGTGGCCTTTGAGCTTTCGCGCAACTCCATTGGTCTCGAGGTCGAAGATGGCGATTGTGCCTTTGGCGGTGCCGGATGCGAGCAGGTCGCCGCGGTGGGAGAAGCGGATGCACACTGCCTGGCCCGACGATCGCAGGCGCGCCGTGAGAGTCTCGGGAATGTCCTGGGCCAGCAGAATCGGGTCGGAGAGGGGCAGGTTCATGGCGTGAGGCTACAGTGGTGAGTCACATGTGAGTGAAGGAGTGAGGGTATGCGGTCAGACGACGCATAGGCTGTAGTGGAGTGTGTCGTGACGGCGACGGTGACTCCGGTCAGCGTGGAGGCCGCAACCGTGAAGTGAAGCCAGCGCCAGCACGCGGCATTCGGATGGAAGTGCAGTGCCCTGCTTTCTCTCTTTGTCGGCTGCGAGCCTTTCGGCCTGCGCAGCGACTACCGCAATCGCACACTCAACATCCACCTCCTGCGACAACCACACCTGGTCGTTTGAGTCTATCGCGAACAATTGGCGCACGGCAAATCTGGTGAAATCCGAATCTGGAGCTTCGTGAGTCGTTCGTGACTGCGACGCCTGCATCCCTGCTCTGCACAGCGCGGGACTGGCCGCGGCTGTCGCTCCGTTGCCCTTGCCTTGTTGCCTTCGCCTTCGCCTTCGTCAAAGCCAACCTCTACCCTCGCACCTTCCACCGCGAAACATCCACTCACCCACCACCGTCAACCCATCCGCATATCGCCTGGACGCGCGATATTGCCACTTCTACCGCAGGGCGCCCCAGCATATCCAACAGTCACGTATCGGTCGCCGGCCGGCCTACGAACGGGCGCGCAACACGCAGCGCAACCGCAGCGACATTCTTCCATCCAGCGCAATCGCGCGACATCGCCATCGTCGGCGCATCAGTAATTCATCGACTAGTTATCATTGCGGCGAGCACGAGTGTTTCTGGAGGCGCAAGGCGCGGAGGCAGCCCTCCTTCGAGGTGCGCGCGTTGATAGGGGAGGTGCGAGTGGTGCGGGTGGCAGACCGCGTGAACAGCGCAACGGCAGCAGTCAGCACGACGAGTCTGCGTCCGGTGTCCGGTCATCAGAAAGCGAGTCTGCGCATCGAGTGCAGCGGTCAAGAGCACGTAGCAACGGACGTCACTCGACCCGAAAAGTCTCGCTCCATCGCCCATCATGGCAACCTTCCCTCACTCCTCAGCGCCGCTCAAGACGGTGCAGGAGATTCAATTCGGTCTCTTCTCGCCCGATGAAATCAAGAGCATGAGCGTGTGCCATATCGAATATGCCGAGACTATGGACGAGCAGCGCCACCGACCGCGTGAGAAGGGCTTGAATGACCCCAAACTCGGCACCATCGATCGCAGCCAGATGTGCGCTACCTGCGGCGAAAGCCAACAGGAGTGTCCTGGTCATTTCGGGCACATCGAACTTGCTGTGCCCGTCTTCCATGTCGGTAGGTTGGAGACGAAACTCACTTTACATGCCCAATCGCAAAACATTGACTCACGTGACCAGGCTTCATCACCAAGATCAAGAAGATCCTTGAATCCGTTTGCCACAATTGTGGTAAGCTCTTGGAAGATGAGGTAAGGATATTGTCTCTCACCTTTCCTTTCTGTCATCTATGCCCTTGGATCAGTGCTCACAGTGTCCCATTAGAGCAACCCTCTGTTCAAAAGAGCCGTCGGACTGCGAGATCCCAAGCGCCGTTTCGAGGCCGTCACCCGCCTATGCAAACCCAAGATGACCTGCGATCTCGATGCCAAGAACGATGACGAGCAGGAAGATTTCGGCTCCAACCCAAAGAAGGAGAAGCGCCCAGGGCACGGCGGTTGCGGCAATATTCAGCCAACCATTCGAAAGGAGCAGTTGAAGCTGAATGGCACCTGGAAACTCGGCAAGAACGAAGATGGTGAGGACAATGGTGTCGAGAAGAAAATCATCACACCTCAAGAAGTACTCCGTGTTTTCGGCCTGATCTCAGAGGACGACCTTCTCCGTCTGGGATTGAACGTCGATTATGCCCGTCCGGAGTGGATGGTCCTGACAGTACTTCCTGTCCCACCGCCGGCAGTCCGTCCTAGTATCTCGGTTGACGGAACCAGCCAAGGCATGCGATCGGAAGACGACTTGACATACAAGCTGTCTGATATCATTCGCGCCAATTCGAATGTGCGACGCGCCGAGCAGGAAGGCTCACCGCAGCACATTACCGATGAATTCACGTCTCTCTTGCAGTACCATGTTGCGACCTACATGGACAATGATATTGCTGGTATGCCCAAGTCGATTCAGAAGTCTGGTCGTCCTCTCAAGGCTATTCGCGCTCGTCTGAAGTCCAAGGAGGGTCGTCTCCGAGGCAACCTGATGGGCAAGCGTGTCGACTTCTCTGCACGTACTGTCATTACCGGTGATCCCAACTTGGATCTCGACCAAGTCGGATGTCCGCGGTCTACAGCCAGAATCCTTACATTCCCGGAACGAGTTACACTCTACAACATCCACAAGCTGCAAGAGCTTGTGCGGAACGGTCCAAATGAGCACCCAGGAGCCAAGCACATCATCCGAGAAGACGGTTCTCGTATCGACTTGCGGTACCACAAGCGAGCTGGCGAGATTCAGCTGCAACTTGGCTGGATTGTCGAACGCCATATCGTCGACGGAGACTACATCATTTTCAACCGACAGCCTTCTCTCCACAAAGAGTCCATGATGGGTCATAGGGTGAAGGTGATGCCTTACTCTACCTTCCGTCTCAATCTGTCGGTCACATCCCCATACAACGCCGATTTCGATGGCGACGAGATGAACATGCACGTTCCTCAGGGCCATGAAACTCGTGCCGAGGTGGCCAACCTGTGTGCTGTTCCTCACAATATTGTTTCTCCTCAGAAGAACGGACCGCTCATGGGAATTGTTCAAGACACCATGGCCGGTATCTGGATGATGACGAGACGTGATACCATGATGGATTATGAGCAAGTCATGAACATCTTGATGTGGGTGCCCGGTTGGGACGGTGTCATTCCGACTCCTGCTATCCTCAAGCCTAGCCCACGCTGGACTGGCAAGCAGATAATATCACTTGGCCTTCCGCTTGGACTGAACATTTTCCGGAAGAGCGAGGAGGGCGATATTCCCTTGCTAGAGAAAGAAGAGCCCGTCCTCATCCAGAATGGTGAGCTTGTCTGGGGCCGCTTTACAAAGAAGCTGGTCGGCGCTTCCGGTGGCGGTGTCGTACACTACATCTTCAACGACAAGGGTCCGGACGCTACGGTCGAGTTCTTCAACGCTGCGCAGCGCATCTGCTGCTACTGGTTGCTTCATCATGGCTTTAGCGTTGGCATTGGCGATACTGTCCCAGATGCCGATCTGGTCGCCAAGATCGAGGAACAAGTCGTCAAGTACAAGACGCAGGTCGAGGAGTACATGAGCGAGGTGCAAATTGATAACATGGAGGCTTCGCCAGGTATGACGGTCCGTGAGACATTTGAGAACAAGACGAAAACTGCGCTCGACAATGCCCGAAACGGAGCTGGTGACGTGGCTTACAAGGGCATGAATGCCTGCAACAACGTCGGTACCATGGTCAAATCCGGATCCAAGGGCTCTACAACGAACGTCTCCCAGATGACTGCAGCAGTCGGACAACAGTCTCTTGAAGGCAAGCGTCTTCCATTCGGCTTCAAGGACCGCGTGCTTCCGCACTTTCCCAAGGATGACTATTCACCAGCATCCCGCGGGTTTGTGGAGAACTCCTATCTACGGGGACTGACACCACAAGAGTTCTTCTTCCACGCCATGGGAGGTCGTGAAGGTCTCATTGACACTGCTGTCAAGACTGCTGAGACTGGCTACATTCAGCGTCGACTTGTCAAAGCACTCGAAGAAATCATGATCAAGTATGATGGTACCGTACGCAACTCACTCGGCGACATTCTACAGTTCACGTATGGTGAGGATGGGCTCGATGCTACATACATCGAAGCACAGAATCTTGAGATCATTACTTCGTCTAACGAGGCTTTCGAGAAGAAGTACAAGATCGATGTTATCAGCCCTAGCAGCAAGGATCAAACCTTGACCTCAAATTACCTGGAGGTTGCGAACGAGCTGTCAGGAGATGTTGAAGTCCAGCAGCTTTTTGATGAAGAATTTGAAGCCATCAAACACGATCGTGCGAAGATTCGGCAGAATCTCGACGATGCTGATGATCGCCGCTTCCTACCATTGAATGTTGGTCGTATGATCGCGAACGCGAGGAATAAGTTCAAGATCAACGATAACAGCAAGAGCGACCTTGACCCTCGGGAAGTAATCCCCAAAGTTCGATCTCTTCTGGACCGCCTCAAGATCATTCGCGGAGATGACGAGCTGTCCAAGGAGGCTGACTTGAATGCTACGCTCCTGTGCAAAGCCCTCTTCCGCTCCCGTTTGGCGTTCAAGCGACTTGTCAAGGAAGACAAGCTCAGCAAGCTTGCGCTCGACAACATCCTTGGCGACATCGAAAATCGCTTCTTGCGCGCTCTTGTCAGCCCGGGTGAGATGGTTGGTGTGCTCGCTGCGCAATCCATCGGAGAGCCAGCCACTCAGATGACGCTGAACACATTCCATTTGGCAGGAGTCACGGCGAAGACCACCACCAAGGGTGTACCGCGTCTGAAAGAAATCTTGAACGTGGCTGACAACATCAAGACGCCGAATATGAAAGTGTACCAGCTGCCCGAGGCACGCGCTGCCCAAGACTCTGCGAAGCTGCTTCGCTCCAAAGTCGAATTCACAAGCCTTCGTGGAGTTACCGATGCCGCTGAGATCTACTACGATCCGGACATCGAGAGCACCGTCATCGATGAAGATCGAGACATGGTGGAATCCTATTTCATCATCCCAGAGGAGGGCGCTGACTCTCCCGATGCGCAGAGTCGATGGCTCCTCCGCTTTGTCCTGGGACGTCGACAACTGCTTGACAAGGGCTTGACAGTCACTCAGGTTGCCCAGAAGATTAAGGAGGTGTACACCTCTGATATTGCTGTCATCTTCTCCGACGACAACGCTGAGCAAACGGTGGTTCGTGTTCGCATGTTGAACCGGGGCGACAAGGACGAGGAAGGTGATGAGTCATCGGAGGATGACACCCTGAAACAGCTTGCCGAGCACATGCTTGACAATGTCATCCTTCGCGGTGTGAACGGTGTTCGCCGTGTCTTCGTCTCCAAGGCCAACCAGATCATCGAGAAGCCGAATGGTGCGATGACCCAGGGTGGCGAGGAAAGCGTGGAATGGTACTTGGACACCGATGGTGTTAATCTGCAGAAGGTTTTGGCAGTTGACGGCGTTGACTCCGCTCGCACGACCTGCAACCACTTCCAGTCGACTATGAAAGTGTTCGGCATTGAAGCTGTCCGTGCTTCTCTGATGGCAGAGATGAAGGACGTGTTGACTAACGACGGTTCTTACGTCAACCATCGCCACATGGCAATTCTTTGCGACGTCATGTGCGCGAGAGGAGAGTTGATGGCTGTTACTCGTCACGGTATCAACCGCTCGGACACTGGTGCATTGATGCGCTGTTCTTTCGAAGAGACCGTCGAAATCTTGTTCGATGCTGCATCTTCAGGCGAACTGGATGACTGCCGTGGTGTTTCCGAGAATATAATTCTCGGTCAACTGGCGCCCAGCGGCACTGGTGAGTTCGACATGCTTCTCGACAGCAACATGCTATCAACAGTCACCGCCACTCAACGTCCAATGCAAGTCGGTGCTGCCGGCGGGGCAATGTCACCAATGTCAGACGGATCTATGACTCCATACGATATGGGCTCACCAATGTCCGAGAGCGGCGGAATTGCTGGTCCAGACTATGGAGCCAGCTTCTCGCCAATCATCAACCCTGGCCAAGATGAAGGCGGTGGTCTTACTGCTTACGGTGGAGGTTACGATGGCGGCGTGAGCCCGTACCGTGGAGGAATTTCTCCCGGATATGCGCCTCAGAGTCCATTCTCGGGTGGCTTCTCGCCCTCGTCGCCCGGTTACGCTGGAGGCTATAGTCCCACCAGTAAGTATCATTGTTCACAGGATGAAGGAAACTTGCTGATCATACGCTCTAGGTCCCGGGGGATATAGCCCGACCAGTGAGTATCATCGTTCACGCTGTGGAAGATTCTTACTGATCATACGCTCTAGGTCCTGGTGGCGCCTTGACCTCCCCTGCCTACGCGATGACAAGCCCTGCATAGTAAGCTTCACTTCTGCCTTTGCCTTCTTCTACTGCTAACCGCTTTGCAGCTCACCCCAAAGCCCTGCGTATCAACCGACGTAAGTTTCATGTCTGCCTTGACTTCTTCTCATGCTGATTCTTTGCAGGTCGCCCAGCTACAGTCCCTCGTACGACTTTCTTCCTCGACCAGCTTTGACTCTCGACTAACCGCTTTGCAGCTCGCCGTCGTTCTCGCCGGGCTCTGGCTCCAAGGTCTCACCCACAAGTCCCTCATGAATGTCTTCCCACCCTTCTTTGCTCTCAGAACCCCAGCTAACAGCTTTGCAGATTCCCCAACATCGCCGAGTTGCAAGTTTCCCACCCTTCTTTGCTCTCAGAACCCCAGCTAACAGCTTTGCAGATTCCCCAACATCGCCGAGTTGCAAGTTTCCCATCCTTCTTTGCTCTCAGAACCTCAGCTAACAGCTTTACAGACAGTCCAGCCAGTCCCTTTGGATCAGCAAGCAACAAGTATTCGCCAACGCAAGTTTTCCTCTCTCTCCCTTCTTCAGGCATCAAGCTAACTTCTGAGCAGTAGTCCCTCGTACTCACCATCGCAAGTCTCGTCTTCTTCTCTTCGAACATCAAGCTAACTTGAACCAGCTCGCCGGCGTTTTCCCCTGGAGCAGCAAGCAACAAGTACAGCCCAACGCAAGTTTCCCTTCTTCTTCTCCTTCAAGGCATCAAGCTAACTTCTGAGCAGTAGCCCGGCTTTCAGTCCATCGCAAGTGTCGCTCTTCTTCTCTCGGCGCATCCAGCTAACTTGAAACAGCTCGCCTGCTTGGAGTGCGCGAGGTGGTGGCGCTCCTTCGGCCCGCTCGCCCGTCTACTCACCGTCGTAAGCGTGTCCCAGCCCAATCTGAGAGGCAAAAGCTGACAGTCATCGCAGAAGTCCGGCATATCAGAACTCAGGATCTGATCAGTTTAGCCCTTCCTCGCCAAATGATCAGTTCTCTCCCTCTTCCCCGAAAGATGGATAGATGGCCAGTGTAAAATTAGTAGATACCCATGATTCCGCCTCATGGCGACGGACAGCAGAAATGTAACATCATGAATTCAAATTTGGATCTCTCTCATTCTTCGTTAGCCAAGTTTCATCTTCAGTGCATTATGCCTGCAGGCCGCATCCTCTTGCCTGCGTTACCGAACACCTCGCGTCTCCACTCCGAGGCTTTCTGCTTCTTTGAATAATTATACTTGGATGTCAGAGTATTTTAGCTGCAGGCCGATCAGCGCCACATTTAATTTCCGAGGCATTCCTTCGTAGATAACCGTATCCAAGAAGTGTCGATATTGCTAGCCAAAACAGGCATTCCGCAGACGCAAGGGTCTATGACCTTATGTCGTCGAAACCTAATAGTATAGGGCCCATTTTCTATATAATAGGAGGTGTTATAGGCGTTACTGCGTGTATCTATTGTTACTACAATACTTATTAACTCTAGCTCTTTAATATAGCCTATCTTATCCCTATTTCTATAACTTACTAACTGCGCTATTCGCTATTTAGTCTATCGACCGAAGGCGCCTTTATAAAGGCCGCTAAATACGATTAGGTATAGCTATTCGTCTCTAATATATAGGAAGAGAAGCCTCTTAATCGTTCGAAGGATAGTAAAGGACGGAAACTAATACTACTACTACTACTTGTAGCAATAGTATAGGCTACCGAGGGTAACATAACCTATAGCAATATAGGCAGCTATGTTTAGCAAGATAGGATAACGAGACTGTCGCTTAGGCTAATAACTAGAGCCCTATAACATAGGCATTATAGAAGTGTAATATAAACAATGTGCTATACGAGGTTAATGCTCTATCTACAATGTAGAAGGAGGCCTCTTATATAGGCTTAAAACTGGCCTATAGGTATAGGGCCGGTTACTAGCTAATATCCCTCCCTTTCTTCGTATCTAACTAGACACGCTTTATATTGCGCGCTTAAAACAAACATATATGCATCCTTAGCGTTCTTAGCTAAGGCTATTCTTAGAACTCCGTAATAATACCCCTAGGGTAGCATTAATCCTAGATACTATAATTATATAAAAACAACTTCCTAAGCAACACTATACAGACTTACTGTTGCTTTAACGCGCCGTAATCCTTACTAGCAATAACCTTATCTGCTAGTCGGCTCTCGAAATCTCCTCTGTACGCGTTAAAGCTATTAGTACCGAAGTACTATCCCTCGTAGAAAGCTTAATTAACGAGGAGGTTAATAGCCTTTTCCGTCGTAGCTTTCTCCTAATTATATAGATATTCCTTTAGTCCCTCGTTATTAAGCTAGAGGATCTGTTTAACTTCGTTCTAAATAACGTAACTTAACTAAGGAATCCTACTAACTAGAGCGTCGGAGATATAGCCGAGGCCTTCGACTAAGATAGCCGCAGAGAAAGCGAATAGTACGAAGGAGTTAGAGGCTAGGAGGGCGGTTAGATTGCAGTGCGCTTTAGCAACCTAAGAGACTATTAAGTTCTTATAGCCCTTAACCTTAGTGCCGTTAATAACGCGAGAGTAGCCTAGGTTAATTAATATACGGTTGCTCTTAGTCTTTAGATTACTATATAGTAGGTATAGTATCTAAATAGAGACCTCGCACTCCTTTAGAGGGTTGAGGATCTACTCCGCTTTACGCCCCTTACTATTAGGCTAACTATCGAACATATAGTCGAGGTCGTCGTCGGTAAGGTGCTTGTTAGTAAGCTTACTGATCTTAGTTAGTAGGACTAGGCTACGAGCCTTAAGCTTCTTAACCTAGTTCGCAAAGACCTCGGGCTAATATATGCCTTCGACAATAGTAGAGCAGCTAGTCTTATCCTTAGATATAAGGCAGACCTTAATGCGTAGGTAACTAGCACTCTCGCTAGCTACGAGCTTAACTATATCTTGTCCGAGACGAGCAGACTCCTTAGAAGGACAGTTCTCGTAAGTACCGCTAACCTTAAAGAACTTAGTAGGCTTAGGGACGGAGATAAGCTCGTATACGTAATTAGGTCGAAGGGCGATAGCTAAGAGCTATAGGGTAGGGTGCTAGCGGACGATTTAGTTGCTTACACTATAAGTTTAAAGGGTATTGCGGCCTTCCTACTTAGACTTAGGCATCGTACGTATATACTAAAGGTATATTTCAAACTCCTCCTATATTAGGTCGATAAGGAAAGGAAGATATGCTCTACGAGGCTCTTGCAACTAGCTAAAGACTTAAGGGAAGATAGTATTACTAGTCTAGCGAAAGCGGTCGAAGGAAGTGCCTTAGCTAAGGATGCCGGTAACGAACTTGCTCTAGCGATCTATTAGCGTAAGGGCGCGAGTAATAGTACTAGTAGGGTTGAACGCGTAGAGTCCTAGAGATATCGGGGCGGCAATAGGGCGTCTAGGAAACTAGTTAGTATAGGCCTAATTAGCTTTAAGGGCAGCGAAGGCGTCTTAATTAGGAACCTTGCGACTAATCTTTAATAGGCGACCGACGAGGACACTCGCCTTAGCACTAGTATAGAGACTATAGACCTTAGCGGCCTTCTTAATATAGTTAGCATATATAGAGAACAGCTCTTCTTCTAGCTTACTAAGGTCGTCGAGCTATTAATAGATAGAGAGGGCAGTAGGAGCTTCGCCTATTACGGCTTTAGGAACTATATCGATCTTAGTAATAAGGTACGTAATAGAGTCGCCCTTACAAGAACTATAGATATTCTTAGTTAATAGGATCGGCGAGAGCCCTCTATCTCTACGCTCGCTAAAGGAGCCTTCGGAGGAGACATCTTCTAGTAGTATATCTAGTATATTAACATCCGAGTTACTATAGTTAGTACTATAGTTAGTACTAGAAGGGGCGCTATACTTCTTAGTAGCCTTACGGAGGGCCTAGCGAGTATATAATGCCTTCTTGCGCGCTGCTTCGGCCTTAGCGCGCTCGTCCTTAACTTCCTAAGGGACCTTACGGTTGCGGGTCGAGCGACGGTCTTAAGCCTATATCTCCGTAGCGAGCGCGAGACTAGTAGCCGTATCGGCCTCTGTTTCTAGGCGAAGAGCCTTACGTTTAAGGACATTAACGATAGGAGCCTCTTAACCTTCGACAATAAAACCTATACTATTAATACGATAGCCCTTCTCTTTTAGTAGATCCTTAGTTGTCTATACGTTAAGATCGACCTAGATAATCGCATCGTAGTGCTTCTTCTAATAGGATGTCGTAAAGTCGTTAAGCGTAAAGGACAAGTTAAGTAACTGCTTGCCTACCTTCTTACTAGCGGTAGATATACGATAGATTATAGTACGGGAAAGGTGCTCGGCGCCTTAACAACGGACCTTGTACTTGTTAACGAACGAAGAGACCTACTTAGTACGCTCTTATCTACCGTAGGCGAAATTAATAAGGCTCTTAGGAAGACTGCTTAGTCCTCCCTAATATTCGAAGGCCTAGTCGAGGGTCTTAAAGCGTAAGCGAATCTAGGTGCCGGCCGTCTCGAGGCTATAGACGATAGGAAAGGCTTATTCGATATCTATATCGTTAAGAACCTCGCGCTTAAAGACACGCTTACCGATAGACTAACGCAAGTTGTTTATACCGTACGTAACTAAGATAGTAGCCTTCTTAATGTTCCTATTAATAACGCGTAGTAGGGTACGAGCGTTCTAGATCTTCTCTTAAGGGTCTTTAAGGGCGGTAACGATCTAGAAGCAGTGCTCGAGGCTAGTTACAGCAGCTAAGGCGCTGTCGGATAGGGCTTCGATCGGGACTAGTACGCCTAGGTTTAGGGCTAGTAGGTTGCTACTGCTACTAGCGCCTAGCGGATTTAGGGCGCCGGAAGACATCTTAGTCGACCGGAGCAGAAAGGAGTTAGTAACGAGTTTTATAAAAACGTTCGTAGCTTGTTAATAATAATTAAAGGGTTTAGATAGAAGGAGGGGGAGGGGGTAGGCGGTAGTAAGTTAGTTAGTATTCGAGTAGAAGAAAGAGCTTAGAAAGCTCGCCTTAAATAGGGTGCGAAGGTAGCGTAGTCCGTATATTCCGGTAAAGCAAACGGATAACGATTATATATAGACCCTAAAAAGTAAAGCTATATACGAGACTCCTTTATTAGTAGGGCGGCTAAAGTTTAACAATCGATCTAGCTAATTGCTAGTAGCGACTACGCGCTTTTGTTAACCTCTAGCTTTCGTAGATTCCCGCGTACTCGAAATGTAACTAGTTAGTTCGAGTACCTAGTAGTAATCTATAGTAGTAAGGCTAGCGGGACTAATAATACCCCTAGGGTAGTATTAGCTTTTCTCTAGAGATGCTCGGTAACTAAGAGCAAATCGCCTAGGCCTAGCGTAGCTTATATTAGCCCCTAGCACTATCGTTATAGATATAGCATTACCTTTTATAGTAGCAGGTATGTGAACGTAGCCCGTACGTTCTTCTTTCTTCTAGACACTAAGCTTAGCGGCCTAAGGTCCCTATTCTTAGAGGCTATAGGCCTAGGTTGCTACGTCTATCTAAGAGCTAGGAAGGGAGAGGGATCCTCCCTTTCTTAGTGTCCCGCGTAGCTAGTACTAATTAGGGCAGGAACATCCTCTAGCAGAGTATCTTATTGTCGTTATTACTTAAGGAAGGTTGCTAGAGTCTAGGAATCTAGAGGGAAGTAGTCCTAGAAGGGTAGAGGGGCTAGGTTCGGCTATCTTCCTAATACTACCCCCGGGGTATTATTAGGAAAACGCGCCTCGTATAGTTCTATCTAAGGAAACAAGAGCGAAGGAATAAAGTTATAGCAATATCAATCGAAGGTAAAGGCAAAAGTAAAAGACAATAATAGGATAAACTAAAAGCAATAAACGAGAGCGTAAACATTAGTAGGAACAGACAATAGGTAAGGACTAAAGGTATAGGGCGGCACTGTATTAATAGCGCGGAGAACGATCGATAAGAGTAAGGAAGCAACGTAGTAGAGGTAGGTAGAGGCAAGGAAGAGCAAGCAATTATTTAGTCTTAGGGTCGTCTAGCTATAATTCTAGGCGGTCTTTATCGCTAGACTAGTTAGGTTCCTCGGAGTTAGAGTTAGATAGCTAGAAGTCTAGTTTACTATTAGA